GCATTATTAAATTGTCATAATATAATAATAATGAAAATAACTGTAATATTGTGATATATTTAAAAGTATTCAGGCTGAGGTTTAGCGAGAGGTGGATTATTTTTTTTAATATAGGAAGTGGCAGCGCCCTCTCCTGGCTGTAGAGAGGTTGTGCTGTTAAATATACAGTAAACAACCCCTCCATTTTCGTCCCGCTATTGTAGATTTTTTTTTTTGGGGGGGGGGGGGGGGGGGTAGTTTATGACTATGTTTGTTCTGCCTCCTGTTTGTTTAGTGTAATTCCATCATCAAACACTAGATGACAGCACACTATTTAGTTTGACTTGTGTAAATTTGAAAGAAGAACAAAAACAGGAAGTGCTTCAGATCGGCCTAGTTTTTGTTTCAGATTATTGGAAGATTCACACCCTCCGTAATCCTGCTTTTTACACCTACAAAAACTTGTCTTTTGGTTCATTTCATAACGTACATCTTTGGCCATGAATATTGACATATTACTGTAAACGTATGGGCTCAGTACACTGTTACGCTGTTTGTGCCATAGTTTTGTGTTGCCCTCTCTTAATATATTGTGTTTGTATTTTTTTTTTAATGTATTGAAAGACACAAAAAAAAATTATGCTGTGAGTGCCATAAAATCATTCCGAGGGAGTTTTTAAATAAGAAATTTCTATATTGCGAATTTCAACTGTATAAATTTGTATATAAATATGCGAACATTACAAATTGCAATTAGAGGGGCTAAAAAATAAAAATAAATGGAAATTTCATACAATAAAAGAATCCCTCCCCCCACTGGCCCCCCCAAAAAAAATTTACATACAAGTCAGAAAGCTGAAAGTGTAATAAAATCAAACACAGCCTGACGGTTAGGACAGCAGGGACGATGACAAGTCACATAGCAGACGCGACAGACACCGATGAGATGAGCGAGCAAGCACAGGAAGCAAGTGAGGAGACAGAAAAGAACATTAGCGAGTAAATGACGTCGAGGAGCGATGGAAGATGAGATAAAAGCGTTGCAATTAATTGACATGGAGAGTGACAGGCGCTCGCGGCAATGTAACACTAACACACATCGGGCAAAAACAGCCTGCAGCCTCTCTTCTTCTTCTTGCCAAAAAACACTAACGAGATGAACATTTGCATTTTTCTCCCAAAAATGTGAAAGTGGGGGAAGGGCGATCTCCTCTTGCAGGATCGGCAAATCCATCGCCGACGCTTTTGGGGAAGGAGAGTGATGCTCATTACTGTCAGCACACCACGACGAACGCTGAGCCGGTCGCTCCCGGCAGGAGTTTTGTGCCTGCAGAGGTGCAACTCAAATGTCCAACTTTACCAACTTTTTTTTTTTTTTTTTTTGCTGTCAGCTGGAGAACAAAAATTATCCGCACTTGAGTTTTCATTGGTAGAGTTTGGAAAAAACAAAGTAAATATTTGGACTCCCAAGTAGCAAGTTTCCAGTTTCCTTGTCTACTTTTGTCCTAGTAGACTTGTGTACTATTCAGTTTTTAGCACTTTATTTTGAAGGGTAATGTAAGATGAGTTTGAAATGATACTCAAGCATTTTGGTTATCGTCGTTTGGGAAACATTTTAGGCATCAAATTATCAATATTTTTAAAACATGTGCTCTTCCCGGCAGCTCTTGGTCTCTAACCCCGGCGAATCGCGGGAGTTCATTCGCTAATAGTTTGCGTTGGCTTTAGCGCGAGTGTCAGTGGGAGATCGAGCGAGGCGGCGGCTAAGGAGAGGATGAGGGTGGTGTTGCAGGCGAATGTGATCAACATGCACTTCTTCAAGCTAGAGCCTTTGATCACAGTCATGCTGAGAGACCGGGATGATGTCTCGCGCGCGCATACACCTGTTACCTGTTTCTTGCTCAATTCCCAAGTAAAGCTCGTCTTTTTGGTTAGCGTTTCTCGGTTCGGACCTCCAACGACTAATAGCGCTCATTTGAAGCTCCCAGGTTTGTGACCTTGGACATGAAGAACCTTTGAGTGCACGTTTACACCATGTTAGCTTACCCGCGCTAGCCGGCAACTTTCTGTGGACAAACTGCTTCGATTCAGCGCCTCGGCGAATGATTTAGTTCGTTTGAAGCTCATCAGTTGGTGACCTTTTTACAAGAAGCTTGGAATGAACATTTCACCCATGTTAGCCTCTTATGCTAGCATCCTATTTTCTGTGAACAAACTGCTGTGATTCAGCGCCTCGGCGAATGATTTTGTTCATTTGAAGCTCATCAGTTGGTGACCTTTTACACGAAGCTTGGAATGAGCACAAGTCATTTGCTTTTTTTTGGGGCTATTTTATCAATGTTATGAGTAGCCCTAGTAGTAGTAGCAACAGTCGTAGTAGTAGTATGGTATGAAATCACCTTTTGGTGTCTACTTATAGAAACGATTCTAAATACACCTTTTGGAAGGCTTCATTTATTTTTCTTATTGCGGTTAAGTTTGATTCTTATCAACATTCTCATCATCATTACAATTAGTAGCAACAGTCGTAGTAGTAGTATGGTATGAAATCACCTTTTGGTGTCTACTTAGAGAAACGATTCTAAATACACGTTTTGGAAGGCTTCATTTATTTTTCTTATTACGGCAAGTTAGTGGCTTTTTGGGTGATTTGATTCTTATCAACATTCTCATCATCATTACAATGATGAAATTGCCTTTGTAGTATCCTTAGTCCAGCGTTTCCATCCCTGTTGGGGTGTTTTAATTCTTATTATTCTGGCTTTTTAAATCTGCTTTTGGCGGGGGAAGGCTACAATTCTTCTTATTATTATTCCACCGTATGAAGCGCTTTTCGGCGGTTCTTTCATTCTTATTCTTAGTGGTCTCGCATCCAAAATGGTCGTATTTTATTACAAATCACCTGAAAGTGAGACTGCCGCTAATGCGTCCTCATGCCAGACTCCACTGCACCGTGCGGTTAAGTGGCCGCGTACTCGCACACGTCACAATCAACAGGCGCAACGGACACGAACGCAAATTGAAATGAACGGGTCGGGGAAAACGGACACCCGTGCGCACTCGCCACCTTTATCCCATCTGCTCCCTTCTCGCATTGCACCCAATCTCATTATCCCGCCGCTCTCATCCTCTCTTCTGCTTCTATTGTCCCGCTCGCTTCTCCTTCCTAGCAGATTTCCCCTCAAGTACGTTTAATGGCGTTTGATTGGGAGAGCCGAGAGGATTGAGCCCGGCTCCCGGCGGCCGGATCAATGCCTCCAAATGATCTGTTGCCGCGTTCCCCTTATGACTCGCCCGGCGAGGCGTGAAGGCACTCATTTCACATCCAACTCACTTCCACCATTCGCCCCTCCGGGAGAGCCGCGACCGTCGTTTCCTTCGAAGGATAATTTGTCCGAAAGCCCAATAAACAGACCTGGAATGTCTCCGTCGTGGCCGATCAATGGCTGTCAAAGACTTTTAAAAAAAACACAAAAAAAAAAAGTCAATTTATTTTGAAAAGAACCTTCGCCGGTGTTTGGCTGCGGACTCGATCTTGTGTGGTCGTAAATAATGCTCTGCGTGGCGGCAAGCCATTCCTAATCATGACTAACAATGGAGGAAACAAATTACAGTGATTCTCCATCCCAACTGGATGCTTTGAAAAAGGGGCTCTTTACTTTTATTTTTAATCCATCAAAATTAGAACGGGCGGCCCGGTGGGCGAGTGGTTATTGCGTCGACTTCACAGTGCAGAGGTACCGGGTTTGATCCCGGCTCCGGCCTTCTTCCTGTGTGGAGTTTGCATGTTCTCCCCAGGCCTGCGTGGGTTTTCTCCGGGTACTCCGGTTTCCTCCCACATTCCAAAACACACGTATGGTCGCTTAATTGAACACTCTAAATTGTACCTTGGTGTGATTGTGATTGTGAAATGACATATTTTTAATCCATTTCAATCTCTTTATGTATGACCTCCCTTCGTTACGTCAACCTCGACTCACCTCGCTTCCATTCCACATACATGTATGGTCACTTAATTGAACGCTCTAAATTGAACCTCAGTGTGAATGTGAGTGTGAGTGATTGTGAAAGGACATATTTTTAATCCATTTCAATCTCTTTATGCAGTCCACAATATGACCTCCCTTCGTCACGTCAACCTCGACTCACCTCGCTTCCATTCCACATGCGAATCATCTCCAATGAAGCGTCGCTTTATTACACCCTGAACTGTGCAAACTTCTGCCGCCAGGGATCCTCATTGATTTTTTTTTTTCTCTTCTAATCAAAAGCCTCCACCGGTGTGTTGGGCTGCTCTGAGGCTTTTTTTTGTTTTGTGTTGTTTTGTTTGAAAGTGTTTATTGACGCAACACCGAGCTGCCACTGGCATTCATAGTGGATTATGAACTCTGGGATGTTGTTCGGTTGGTTATCAAGGAAACAGCTAAAAAAAAAAAAAAGTGTGTTTTGTAAGAATTTGTTTGAATTTCGGAATCTATTTCACTCATAAAAATATGATAATACAGTATGATGGAACGGCAAAGAGCAAAAACTTGCTTGGTAGTTACACAATTCCATTTTCATAAGCAGCAAATATTTGTATCGCTACATCAATAATGTTGTGGGAATATAACATATTCAACATTAAAATTAAATGAGTCAAATGATAATAATGGAAAGTGCTAGTCACAATTTTTTTCTATCGAAGACGATAGAAATTATTTGGTACATTTTCCTGCTGCATAAATTATCCCCCCAAATTGCTGAAGACATCCTTTTCATATCAGAGAATAAAATAAAAGTTGAAATTAAATTGTAACTTAAATGCTAATGTTGGACAATATGGAAAAACGGATATTAAAAAAAAAAAATCTGGAAAATACTCAAATAATAGTCACATCATTTATACGATGCCATCACAAAGTAAAAAATAAATAAAATTAAAATGTAATCGCGATACACCTCATAAATCCTTAAGACGACTGCAAAAAATGTCGCCGATACCCAATAACCAGATAACTGCCATGTTGTGTTGGCCGCAGGTTCTGGCACGGGGAATACCGGGTGGCGGTGAACATCAACGACTACCTGGACATCTACTGCCCCTACTACGAGGGCCCGCCCAACCACGGCCGCATGGAGCGCTACATCCTCTTCATGGTCAACCACGAGGGCTACACTTCCTGTCAGCACCGGCTGCGCGGCTTCAAGCGCTGGGAGTGCAACCGGCCCAGCGGCGCCGACGGGCCGCTCAGGTTCTCCGAGAAGTTCCAGCTCTTCACGCCCTTCTCGCTGGGCTTCGAGTTCAGGCCCGGACACGAGTACTACTACATCTGTACGTTGCTCGCCGCTCGCCGTACCGTTTGTGTCGTGTCTGTGTTTGTACTATTTAACCCTGAAAAAAATGGGTGAAATGAATAATCCACAAAAAAAAAAAAAAAGGCACAGGGTGGTACAAAATGAGTTTTGCTCTCTTCATGTGGCACCCGAAATAACACCCCAACTTCTATTGGTGCGTGTGTGTACTTTATTTGGTTGATTTTCCTCTGGCGTGGTGGTTTCTGAAAACTCAAATCAGATGTAGAGGATGGGCCAAGAGAGGGATTTTTTTTTCTCAGTACAAGTCAGACAGTTTTAACAAATATGACAATACTACAACAACAGATACGTGAACCTAACTATGGAGAATTGGAGTACACATTTAAGGTGTCTGGAAGGATTTTATAGGAGACCTGAAGTGAGATGGGCACTTGCCAATCGCACCTCAACCCATTTCGTGAGCGATTGCGCAACCTGAGGTGAGGCTGGGCCGCCGGCTGCCGCACTTTGCGTCCCGGTCATCAATTTCAACAAGAAATATGCTAATGAAGCCGTTTTGACGATATCATCTTGGACCTTGAGGGTCGGTATACTGTAAAGAACAGACCGGAGAATTCAAATTGAAAAACTGACTCTTCATGAGGCTCCGCCTCCCCTGACAGCTTATCCCTGGCGTGCACATTATTCCTTACGCAGACATTTTGGTAGATCCACACTAGAAAAATTGCTAGCGTGTGCGCGGGCGTGCCAGCGTGTTTGTTATGCACGCCCGCCGCTCTGCATGCATTTGTAAACATTATGTAAATATGCAATCAACACAAGCCACTCGGCACTCGCAGGACGTAAACACGGCCGCCATCTTTCGTTCTCTGGCTGCTTTTCCTCAGTTTGTAATCATTTTCTTATTATCGCTGTTGATGCGCTTTAACAACAGAGGTGTTAGTGTCACAGATGGGGGTCCCGCTCCCCCTTGCCCACCCTCCTCCTCTCATCCACGCGGTCAATTGCAAATATGCTACGAGAAAACAGCAACACGAGGGGTGAGGACTTTTGATGGAGTCATTTCAACACTTGTTTTAGAGGCGCGTAAACGGCTCTTGAAAAACGCCCGGTGAGCTTCTGATCATTCAAATGCACCGTCCGTTCAAAATGCGGTCAAAGATTAAATTCATGCATCGATAAATTCAGGAAAATAATCCACGATGCTGAAACAGTCACAAAAAATAAATAAATAAGCTCCGCGCATGTAAAAGAGTAGATGATAATCATTTTACAAATTGCAATTAAAGTGAGATGTAAAAGATTTACTTCAATCTTGAATTATTTTACTTTCATTTCATTTTGTTGTTAAAAAAACAAAAGTCATGTCATTCAACAAAATACTAGAAGAAAGAAATTGGTACAGAGCCGTAATAAATGAAAATGATGGCAAGAGCTGGAAAATAAAAGCAAATTGCCAAATAAATGTAAATTCAATCAAACTAGTACAAAAATGACAAATACTGTTGATGCCGAAACATGAAATAAAATAAATGGCAAGACTGGAAAATGCTCCCAAAATTATAAGCAAATATCATATTCAACATCTTCATATCAAATGAAGATGTTTAATTGGATTAAATTGGCCAAATAATCATGACCACATTTTTCCCATTTGTGAATGAATGAACGCCATGTGTTGCAAAGACAACCACCTGATGCCCCCCCACCCACTTGCAGTCCACACACCCTCTTTTGTTTCCAATTGAATGTGTTGCAAAGACAACCACCTGATGCCCCCCCCCATGCACTTGCAGTCCACACACCCTCTTTTGTTTCCAATTGGCCTCGTGGGCCCCTTCTAGTTGTATAGTGGCCGACTATAGTATTGTATTACCCACATGCCAGAGGGATTCGGGTATATTCCTAAAAAAAAAAAAGGGAAAAAAAAGTCAGTGTGTGCGCAGGAGTAGTGGGGGAGTCGCGGGGTCAGTTGTCAGAGTTGTATAGTGGCCGACTTTGGTATTGTATTACCCACATCCCAGAGGGATTCGGGTATATTCCTCAAAAAAAAGGGAAAAAAAAAGTCAGTGTGTGTGCAGGAGTAGTGGGGGAGTCGCGGGGTCAGTTGTCAAGTGATTGTGAGTGCGTGAAAGGCCGTGTCCATCATCTTGACAAGCAGACATGCACTTTGCTCTCTGACATGCGCGCTCTCTCACACACACACACCAC